CATGAATGATGCCCTCTACTCACTTCTCTGCCTGGTTAAATCCTACATCTCTTACCATAGTGTCCTCTCTACTAGAAAGCTTCAGCTAATCTCCATCCTGAGTTAGATGTGCTGTGTAGCACTACATCTCTTATGTTAGTTATTATGATATATTTTATCATTTGTCTGCCCGCCCCCCCCCCATGTTGTGCTTGTGTTGCTTGTATACCATAGGTTGTGAATAAGCCTTGCTCCAATCCTGACATCACATTCTTCATATAATCCAGCTTCTCTGATTATTTGCTCAGCACACAGAGTAATATGGTGAGAGGATGCAACCTTGATGTATACCTTTCCTGATTTTCCAACCATACAATATTCCCTTGTTCTGTTTGCATAACTGCCTTGGTCCATGTACAAGTTCTGCATGAGCGCAAAGATATGTTCTGGAATTCTAAGTGTTCTAGACTGCTAAAAGGACAAGTAAATCTGTCTTGGAAGAAGTAAAGCCAGAGTGCTCCTTAGAGGCAAGGATGCAAGACTTTGTTTCATGCACTTTGGACATGTTGTCAGGAGGGACCACTGCCTGGGGAAGGACGTCATGCTTGGTAGAGGAACAGGGAAAAAGAGGCAGGCCGCCAAGGAGATGGATTGATGCAGTGGCTTCAACAGTGGTCTCAGGTTTATGAATAATTGCGAAGCATGTGACCAATTGAGGATGGCACAGGACTGGGCAGTGTTTTGTTCTATTGTGCATAGGGTCACTGTGGGTCCCAACTGAACTGATGGCACCTAACAATAACACATGGTGCTTGAGAGCAGCACGACTTAGCACAACACTGGGCACATAGCAGGTAGTGTATTTAAGTTTAATGAAAGACAAACAAAGTTAGGTGTAAGTAGGCTGAGGAGAAGAAATCCTGGTGGCTAAGGGGTTAAATCCTCAGCTGGCTCTGGCTGGTAAGCAAGTATTTGGTGTTTGAACCCCACCAGGTCTTCTATGGGAGAAAGACATGGCAGTACAGTCTGATTGTTCTGTAGGCTTACTATGAGTCAGAATTGATGGGGAGAGTAACCAAAATGTTAGTGGTTGTGCACAAGAACCTGAAACCCCAAAGTATTTGATCTATGGAAAGGCTGTGGCCTGCAGTAAGAGCCTCAACACCCTAAACTTTGAACTAAGTCCATAAGTCACACCCCTGGACTGCGAAGCTGACCAGGTCCTGGGAGAGGTGGATAACTTAAATAGGGCCCACACAAACCCCAAATTCACTGAGTCTGTTCTGACTCAGAGTGACCCTGTAGGACAGAATAGAATGCTCCCTATGGGTTCCTAAGCCTTTAAAGCCTTTTTTTTTTTTTTTGCCTTTAAAGCTTTACAGGAGTATACAGCCTCAACTTTCTTTCTTGGAGCTGCTGATGGGTTCAAACCACTAACCTTGTGGTTAGACACACACACACACACACACACACACACACACACACACACACACACACACGACTAGGGGACTTGCCTTAAGCATGTCTTCTTCAGAACTCAGTCATGTAGATAAAGGGCAATTATCCTTTTTTTTTTTTGTCCTCTATTCCTGCCAGGTGGAACAACTTGTATCAGGACTCTTTCCAAGAGCAATTAGCAGTATTTAGCATATGTATGGAGGGAATGAAGCCTTACTGGTTTTTTTATTTTTAACTTTTAGAAATACTGTTGGTTTTGCAGATGTTCTTAGGTCCAGGATAGATACAGCTTTGATAGTATGTCCCTGTGTTCCTCATATCTCTTTTCTCTTTGCTGCATATGACAAAGAAAGTTTTCTCATTTCACTGTAATAACTTTGTGGTAATTTCTCCTTAGGACAGTTCATACTGATAAGCTACTCTGTGGCAGAAAGATGTAGTCTGTTCCAGCAAAAATTAAAGCCTTAGACACACTACGGTGCTCTGTACATGTTACATGTTTGAAAGCAGCAGGCACTCCGTGGGAGCAAGTTGTGGCTTTTACTCCTGTGAATAGTTACAGTCTTGGAAATCCACAGGGGCAGTTAACTCTACCCTGTTCTGTCGGGTTGCTAGGAGTTGCCATCCATTGACTCAATGGCAGTGAGTTGGAGTGAGAAACAGTATGCGGTGGTTTTACTCTGTTCTAAAGAGGCCTTATGAGTTGGAAACCACCCAACAGAGAGAGTTCAATGGGAGATTGAGGCGAAGGAGCTAGTGATTAGTGATTAAAGGTACAGAAATTAGAGATGTCATTGATGAAAGTGTGTTTAGGTAGGCCAATGATCGTAGGATTTAGAACGAGGTTGAGTGACTAAGTCTTAAAAATGAGGAAAGGGTGTGTCTACAGCTCAAGACATAGTGAAAATATGAGGAACTGGTACTAAAGCTTCCTTCCCCCAGCTCCTCCATCCCCTTTATTACAGAGGCAAGAGGAAGAGGATGGAGGAAAATGGCAAAGGTGGGTTGTAGTCAGTATGAAAAATCCTAATCAAGAACAGTAACATAATTAAGTAGTAAACATGTGACCAGCTGAAACTAGAAATTCTTGAAAAGTCTAATTCACCCCGCCCCACCACAAGTCCCAGCTAGAGGCAGATTCTAGATATTCAAATCTCTTGTAATTGCTGTTGGTGCATTCAAGTTGACTCCAATTCTGTGGAAGCCACATCTGAACTCCCTGTCTGCCCAAGGATGATTCCTATGAGGCAGATGTCAGACATGCTTCCACCCTCCATTCTTCTTTACCTTATTCTGACAACACCCATCCCTATGGCACCTATTTCTCTGCTGGGTTTGATAATCCATTACAATGGACATACAAGCCACAGAAAATATGCACAACTAAGGGGTTTATTAAGGAAGCAGGAAGCTATCAGGTTACATCATAGCAACCCTATAGGCCAAGGTAGAACTGCCTCTGTGTTTGAGACTGTAACTGTTTATGGGAGGAGAAAACCCCATCTTTCCCCCCTCAGAGTGCTGGTGGTTTTGAATTGCCATCCTTGAAGATTGCGGCCCAACATGTAACCACCAGGGTTGCTATGAGTCAGTATTGATAGCAAATGAGTTTTTAAAATCAGGTTACAAATCGTAAGGATTCAGTTCTTTTGTACATGCCGGCAAGAATGCCTCTGTGGTTCTCAGCCTCTGCTCTGCTTGGGCAAGTGTTACAAAACTCAAACCAAAAGCACTGCCCTCAGGACAGGGTGAAACTGCTCCTGTGGGCCATCTTCCTACCATAGAGGGGCTAGTGGTTTTGAACTGCTGACCTTGCTGTTTGCAGCTCAACACACAGGCACTATACCACTAGGGTTCCATGTGTTACAAAGGTCTTGATAAATGTCTAAAGAGTACCCTACTCTGAAAGGTAGCCTCCTGTGTAAAATCACTCAGATTTACTTGGTCCGAGGGCCAGAGAGCTTACTCCCCTGTATCATCATCTATGTCAGTGGTTCTCAACTTGTGGGTCGTGACCCCTTTGGGGCTCAAACGACCCTTTCATAGGGGTCGCCTGATTCATAACAGTAGCACAATTACAGTTATGAAGTATTAACAAAAATAATTTTACGGTTGGGGGCTCACCACAACATGAGGAACTGTATTAAAAGGTCGCGGCATTAGGAAGGGTGAGAACCACTGAGCTATGTACTGTTTTTCTGTTGCCTGTTTATGCAGGTACCTTGGATACACTTTACTCCCTGGCTCTTCTTTCTTGGTGATCCTGGGATTCTCTGTTCTTGCTTTTGAAATGGCTCACTGTCAAGGGCATGGGAACACTGACTAATTCCTTTATTAGAGTTTCACATACCCGATTTCATGTTTACACCCAATCATTTGGTGGGAGTTACAAAGGTTATGGATAGAAGAGATATACTGAGTAATTTTTCCTTACCACAGACTCTTATCAACCATATGTACAACAGAATGAAACTGCCTGGTTCTGGGCCATCCTTACAACACTTGTTATATTTGAGCCCATAGCTGTAGCCACTGTGTCAATCCATCTCATCAAGCATTTTCCTCTTTTGATGACCTTCCACTTTTTCAGGCATGCTATTTTCCAGGGATTGGACTCTTCTGAGAACATGTATGTGAGACAAAGTCTCATGATCCTTGCTTTGAAGGAGCATTCTGGTTATACTTCCTCCAAGATAGGTTTGCTTGTTCTCCTGGCACTCCATGGTGCTTTCAATGTTCTTTACCAATACTGTAATCAAAGACATCAATTCTATTTGGTCTTTCTTATTGACTGCCCAGTTTTCACCTGCATATGAAGTGTCTGAAAGTATCATGGCTTTGGTCATGTGGGCCTTAGTCCCCAAAGTGACATCCTTGCTCTTTAACACTTTAAAGAGATCGTTCACAGATTGGTCCAATGCTTGCAGCATGACAGCAACATGTAAGCCACCACAGGATGAGACACTGACAGAAGAGTGGTGGTGTTCCGAGTAGATGAAGTTCAAGATTGATCAACGATTGAGGGTTAGTTGCGCAGGTGTGGTGGACCGAGGGCTGCATAGGTAGTCGGGATTCGTCTTAGAAAGACCGGAACCTGTGAAGAAGTTGAGTTGTGGCTGTGGGCGTATACAGTGGTAGAATGTGCCTAGAAAGGATGAACCAAGGCTGAGGTATCCCCTTTGTTTCTTGGCGACCTCAGGTGTACTCCGGTGGGGAGGGTAGAGTCCTCCCCTCTGTGGGTTGGTTGTGAGGTCTCACAAAATCGAGGTGTCGATTTGCCCAGAATCACCTTTAGAGAGGAGAGTCTCAGCTCTCTGCACTGACAAGGGTGGCAGAGCGACCCTCGGAGCCTCGATCGCCTATATCACACCTATGTCCAGAGAGCGTCCAACGACAGCGCTGTGCCTCCCCCTCAGGGGCCCCTGGCCGCGGCCTCACCGGAAGCGTCCGGGCCGACCCGGAAGCAGAAGCAGCGCGGAGGCGCCGCCGTGGAGCCGCCGCCCCCTCGCCGCTCGGCGGCTGCGTGGGGAGCCGGCGCCGCGGCCGCTCCGGGCTGCCCTGATGGTCTCCGGCGGGCGGAGGAGGCAGAGGCGGCGGGAGGATGAGCGCTCCCCGGGAGCCGGGAGCGGATCTGGCTCGTTTCTATACTGTCACCGAGCCCCAGCGACACCCGAGGGGTTATACGGTGTATAAGGTCACCGCCCGGGTGAGTGCGGGCGCCCAGCGCGGTCGGAGTCGAGGTTGAGGGTTGAGAGGCGGCGTGGGGACCCTGGCTGGAAAGAGGTGTCTGCCTCGAGTCAGAGCCGCGGGAGGGACTGGGGACCCCGAGCGCCAGGGCACCGTCCGAGGAGACGCGTCGGAGGTGAGCATCAGCCAGGTTGGGGCAGGCGCTGAGTTTAGGATGCTCGGGACTCCCCTGCAGAAGGTCGCCCCGGTGTCCCTATTCCAGGGCTGGGGTGTGGCAGTGGCTGATTGTTTTAAACTGATGACTCAGCTCCTGTTCGTTTAGACTTTTCTGGCCTCACTCCGACGTTTGCAGAAGTGTTCTTGCTCCAGAGAGATGATGCACATTTTAAAAATGGCTTATTTACCTTATATAATAGAAGGTATTCTCTCTCTTCATCTTCCCATGGCGCCGGGTTTGCTGGAGGCGGACGGACTGGAAAAGATGTCCGTGCTGGGGCCAGCAGCCTCCCACCTCTGTACCTGACGTGTGACTTGGCCACAGGTTTTCATGCTTCTCAGCAGACATGTTATATAATAGAAATTCTACTGAGGGTGTGTTGTGTACGTTGCCTTGAGGGCACATTCACAAGTTGTCTCTTCCCCACAGCCATTAACTCAGTCCTTTTCCAGGACCCCTTTTGTGTTCTAGTGCTCGCGCTTTGGCAAAAATCGGACCTCCCTTAGAGGTGCTGAATGAGGAACACGGGAGTAATAAAATTAAACAAGTTTGGATGTGTGAATTCTGTGTTTTGTATACTAGGTATTTTGTACACATCATCTCGTTTAATCGTCATTTTGATAATGTGGAAACAGGTTCAAGAAGTTTAGTAACTTGCCCAGCTTGACTTGCAAGACAGTAGCAAAACTGGGATTTGAAACCAGTTCTGCTTTATTCCACGTTTTATGAAAATTGAGAATTAGTAAGGAAAGGTAATACACCATATCATTAAATGTTAAAATTTAAAAAGAGGCATAGATAGAAGTAATAGTACAGTACACGCTAGTAAGACATAGCAGTTCTGGGTGATGGAGAGCATAGGTAAGAAGCAGACCTTGAGAAGACTCTTAAGGGTTAAGAAGATTTAAATAGTTTGGGACTTGGAGGTGGCACATGCATGCGGAAATTGGTGCACAATTCAGACAAATGTAAGACAGGGATGAGCAAATGGACTTGAAGATAATGAGAAGATTAACTCTCCCCCTCCCCCCACCACTACAAACCAACAAACCTACTGTCGTGGAGTTTATTCAAACTCACAGTGACTACATAGGGTTTCTGAGGCTATACATCTGTGTGAGATCAGAATGCTTCATCTCTCTATTGATGAGTGGCTGGTAGTTTTGAACTGCTAACTTTGTGGTTAGCAGTCCAGTGCTTAACCCATGATACCACTCTGATTCCCGATAAGAAAACTAGGCCTGGTTATTGCAGAGGGCTTTGCCACACATATTGGGAAATGTGTGGCTCCCTGCATGCAACTAAGGTACCTAAGAGTATGTGGAGTGTTAGTTTTGGGTCATGTGAAATATTTTATACAAGATTAAGGGACCTTAATTGCATTACTCATCAGTGTCCTGGTGGTGCAGTGGTTAAGTGCTAGGCTGCCACCCAAAAGTTTGGTGGTTGGATCCCATAGGAGAAAGATGTGGCATTCTGCTTCCATAATGATTTACAGCTTTAGAAGCCACTGGGGCAGTTCCTTTGCCCCCTCCCCCACAAAATCAACCAACCAACCAACCACAAAACCAAAAACCAAGTCACTGCCATCAAGTCAAATCCGCCTTATAGTGAGTTTATAAAAAGGTAGAACTGCCCCTGTGGGTTTCTGCGCTGAAAATCTTGATGGGTGCAGAATACTTCATCTTTCTCTGGAGGAGCAGTTGGTAGCTTCAAACTGCCAACCTTGTACTTGGCACCACCGAGCTCCACTGGAGCAGATTTCCTTGGTCCTAGAGGGTCACTAAGAGTTGGAATCAACTCTTTTGAAGTAGGTTTATTATACTGTTCTCGAGGCCTTTGAATTTATTGGACTTTTCAAAAATAAAGAGTTTTTTAGCCTACATTTTATGGGGTTGCGGTGAATTGGAATTGATTCAGTGACAGCGAGTTTGAATAGTTCATGGAATCTGAAATTTTCATCATATATAATCATCCCCTCACAGCACCCTATTCATCCATTATTATAACATTACAATTACGTTTTATCTGTTTACATGTCTTTGTTTTTTAGTGAATTTAAAGCAGGCCTTGTGTTTCCCATAATAGGACCTATGGTAATATGTGGCACATACCAAACCAAATCCACTGCTCTCAAATCCTGGACTCACATTGATTCTATCGTGCAGAATAGAATTGCTCCATAAGGTTTCAGACACTGTAGATCTCTAGGGGAGCAGACAGCCTCATCATTCTCCCATGGATTGGTGGGTTGGAATCGCTGACCTTGAGATTAACTTTGTACTGTTTATTCCACTACACCACCAGGGCTAATTATGTGGCACATAGTGCTTAAAATAGTTGACTGTTTCTGTCTCCATTTATGGCAGCCACCAAATGTTAAGCAGGAGCCAAGGCTGAATAAAAGATGAACCTTTTATGTCTTTTCTCAGGAGAGAATTTATCACACTTACAGAAATATTGTACAAGACAGAAAGTGGTAAGTGCCACAAAGGCTTCAGAGAAAAACTGGGAAATTAACAAATCACACCTGGTTCAAGGGATCAGGAAGGATGGCAATTCAGATAGGCTTGAAAGATGGGAAGAATCCACACAGGTGGGGTAAAAGGAGTAGGTAACATAGATAGGAAGAATATAGACAGTGCAGTTTGGTGCTGTGAGTATGTGTGGAAATTGAGTAGGAAGCTAAATATGATAGTTGTTTTCTTAATTTACACAAAGGAAGATTAACCTAATGTAGATCATAGATATATTTTCATAATTTGTTTACTGACCTGGCTTTCCTGACAATGCAAATTAGAAAATAAAATAGCAAATTCTCTTAGAACTAACCAAATCTATACACTATGCATATTATAACTTGCTGTGGTTATTCAAATTTGAAAAAGGCTTAGGCTGCCTTTTTTCTTACTGTAAATGGCTTATGTCCTCACTGTGCTAAGGTTACAGATTTTTAAATTTGGTGGCTGGCGGATTAAAAACTTGGAGACATACTTTAAAAATAAATGTGCTTAATATTATGTAACAAGTAAAATAAACAAAATGCTTAAGCAGAAAAACATCTTGCCTCAGGAGAATTAACCAGGCAGTAGTACTCTCTGGAGAGAACTCCATGAGGTGAAAATTAGAAGTGTCTTCTGTGTGTTTCCTATGACTGATGTGATTCTAGCTTCAAGGAGCAATCATCTCTGTATTCTTGGTCCTTGTAGGGTTATTTCCACCGTGGCAGAATTAAATAGAATTATTGGAATTACCAGTGTTCTTGTGTTTTGTGAGCCGTAGGAGCATTTTCATTTCCTAAGTCTCCTTTGTATCTGTGTTTGTGTGTGACAACTTGTGGCTGGTTTCAAGTTTGCCAGCAGATTTCCTATATAAACTGTGTGTTGCTTCTTAAAATTATCTGCAGTATTTGAATATAAGTACTTCTATTCACAATTGGAAAATTGTTTTGTACCCATATACTCGTGTATAAGCTGAGTTTTTCAGCACAGTCTTAATGCAGTTTTTGTGGTGAAATTAGGTGCCTCGGCTGATACTCAGGTCGGCTTATACTTGAGTATATACGGGATTTTATTTCCTCTTGATTATTTAGTTGTAGTAGGAGATACTGATATACAGAAATTATCAGCAGTGATTTTGGTTGTTTCACCACCTTTAATTCTACAAAATTCTCATATTTTAATAGGGATTTCTCAAAAAACATTTAGTGAATGGCAAATCTTGCCTATATTCTTTTCTTAATTATGGAGAATAAAAGGTTTGTTTTTATTACTAAAAGATGGTGCTGCCTTATGACTTTTAAAAATTGAGACAAAATTTACATAAAGTAAGATTTACCAATTGTAAGTGTACAATGTCTCTTTTTTTAACTTGTGAATTGGGCGAAGGTTTACAGAGCATGTCAGTTTTTCCATTTAACAATTCACATTTTGTTTCAGCTTTTTTAATTGCCATCCCTTCAATGAAAAGTTACTCCTTGCACTCCTTTGTGTATCCTGTTTCCATACCTCTTTCTTTTCAAACCCTTCTTGGGGAAATGCTGCTCTTTTGATCTCAGATGTTGACTATTATAAGTTGTGCACACTTAACTGGAGGTATTGTTCACCTTACAGACCTGTCTCTTGTTTGGCTGAAATTGGGCCACGAATGAGTTAATTTTTAGACCTGAAGTGTGACTAAGGGCAGTAGTCTTGGAGGCTATACCATTTTCTCTCTGACCAGTAAGCCAGGTCTTTTATATGATTTTGAGTTTTGTTCCATATTCTTTTCTCACTCTATCCAGGATTTTCTAATATGATCCTTTTCAGAGCAGATAGTAGTGGTACCAGGTACCATCTAGGTCTTCTGGTCTCAAGCTTGTGGAGATTGGTGTTTGTGTGCCTTTCTACTCCCTTAAAGATTCATACTCTTTTTTTTTTTTTTTAACATTTTATTAGGGGCTCATACAACTGTTATCCCAATCCATACACACATCAATTGTGTAAAGCGCATTTGTACATCGTTTCTCAAAACATTTTCTCTCCATTTAAACCTCCGACATTAGGTCCTCATTTTTCCCCTCCCTCCCCGCTCCCCCCTCCCGCATGAGCCCTTGATAGTTTACAAATGGGTATTTTGTCATATCTTGCCCTGTCCGACTTCTCCCTTCATCCACTTTTCAGTTGTCTGTCCCCCAGGGAGGAGGCCACACACAGTTCCATGCAATTGGTTCATACTCTTGGAAACCTGTTTTGCGCTGTTCTATAGGGTTTCTATGCGTCAGAATCCATTTGATGGCCGTGAGTTTGGAGTTTTTTATTTTA